CAATTGGGAACTTCCGTTGTGCGTTCGCGCCGTTGAGTAAGACTTGGCTGGCTTGTCTGTTCATTGCTCGCCTTTTCCACTTGCGAGCAGGAACGCGTGTACTTCACCGAAAGTCGTGCTGAATTTATTCGAAAACGAGATCAACTACGAGGAAAATCGAATTTCCCAATTTCAATTGTTCTTTTATACGATGCAACTAACTTTTAGATCATAGATTAAATGTTTCTTTACTTACAAATACAAAACTAGAGCAGTCTTCTTTAAAGACCGTTCTTAAGAGCGGAAACTTATTTCCCGATTTACATGGAAGATTCAAGTTATTTGCCCTTTCAAAACTCACTTTGAGGTATTAGTTAAAACCAATACAAGTTTCAATCTTCTTTAATTTCTACATCATCTATATGGAAGCGTCATCGCATTCTTATCAACCTTTAGACGCCACTAATTCCTATGTCACTTGTACGTAATCGTCATCACATTCTTATCAATTGCAACACGCCTTTGATTCCTATTTTATTTGCGTGTAATTATCATTACATTCTTATCAATCTTTACACGCCTCGAGTTCCTACTTTACTTCTTTCTAACCGTCATTCTTATCAATTTTTACACAGTCTCTAATTCTTACTGTTTTTACGCATAACTGCCATACCATTCTTATCAATTTTCAAACATCTTTTCCACTGTATTTACGTATAATTGTCACAACGTTAATCAATTTCTACTTTATTCCTCTATAATTCATCTCTTCCCCAAGTATTTCAGGTACCTGGTGTCTAATTCCTTTCGAACGAGTCAACGAACCAACATTCTATCGATTCACAAGTTTATTTACAAATCAGTAGCTGCAAGAGCAGATTATTTTCAAATATCAATGGAATCTTCATCTTTTCCCCGAGTACCTCACATACCTGGTGTAATTCCTCTCGAACGAGTTAACGAACCAACATTCTATCGATTCACAAGTATATTTACAAATCAGTAGCTTCAAGAGCGAATTATTTTCAAATATTAACGGAATCTCCTCCGAGTGACCCTAATTTTTATGTTTGCGTGGCAATCCATCGCAGTCTCCAGAGCCATTCGCTCGAAGAATGCACCATAATGCCGCGTTGCGTAGGAAGAAAGACAAAAGAGTCGGCCCAATTCGCAACCGCCTGTTCTCCGCCGCACGCGCAGTTGTTTCTTTTTACGAGCGCTGGTAAACGATGACACTCGCGTGGTTCGTACACAATTGATTAGCGGAGCGGAGAAACTTAATTGGCCCAAGTGCCGCGGCCCGCCCAAGGACGTTCCGCGTTTCGTCTAGTCGTTGCCGAGAAAATATCTTTCCAGCTGGGAAACGTGTACTTTTCTCCACACCCATTCTGCAGATATTTTTCTCGTGACGTCGGCAGAGAAGCGAAGAATTTTTGGACACGAACTGTCGCAAACGGTACTTCAAACTTCGATTTCAAGTGTATTTAACCAGTTAACTGTGTTTGACGAGTATACACGTCATCGTAAAACTGGACATGATATTAATTCTTTCAACGATGAATTCTTTATTTTTTCACATAAACATGTAATTCTTTTTTGTTTCGCTTTGATCTTTCATTAAAATATACTCTACGTGCATTCGTCCTGCGTTCGACGACTATACGCTCCATTTTTCGATTTTATTGCGCGCAGAACCAGAGATTTTTTCAACTAAATTCCACAGTTAACTGGTTAACACATTGAACGCCGGCTAAATTTCAGCTAAAAAATGCGAGCGTCGGTGATTATATTGATACATTTTTAAACATCGATTAAACCAAAATTTCTAACTTACGGAACAGAATAAGGAATTCGATTTTGTAAATTTTACTTTGGATTTGGATTCTTATCGTGGGCCGGCGCTCAACGTGTTAACAATTTTTCGAAGCGGTCGGAAATTGTTTCGTAAGCTGTTAAATTGTATTTCGAACTCTTAAATATTGATGAAAGAGAATTATACGTTGATCTTTGGTTATTTAAATAATTACATTGCTTGCTTGTGACTTCTGGTCGTTGGACAGTGAAATTGGATGTTAATTTATTTAGATCCGAAAAAGCGAAGATTAGTACGATTTTCGTTATTCGAAACACGTGTTAACTAGCGGTAATTACGATAACGAGTACACAGCAGTTATTTGTGCAAATTTTCAAGATTGCAATTACGATAACGAAATTACAGTAGAGAGTGATTCTTCCTGAGAAGTATTATAAAGATCACCGTGTTTCGGATATTTTATATGTTTCCATAAATTAGAATAATCCTATATTCAAGTTCCATGAATTATAGTAATCCTATATCCCAATTCTCTAACTTATATCAATTCTCTAATTCTATAAATTAGAATAATCCAATATTCAAGTTCCGTAAATTATAGTGATCCTATATCCTAATTCTCCAAATTATATCAATTCTGTATAGTGTTATTTGGAAACTGCATAAATATCCGCAGTCTAATAATAGACGGTAAAACCACAGAAGTTTTTACCGTCGCTCAAAATTCACGGTATCGGGAGCCGGGTAAACAGAACGTGCATCGGCGATACCGATAATTTAAAGCGGAGCTTTATTGGCGAATGTAAACGAGCGAACGGAAATTAGGCGTGCGATCGAATTTGCACGGCCGCCAAACGGCGCGGCGCTGTTTCGTTCGGGCGAACTTAGGTTCTCGGGGTTCGCGATAACGAATTAAACAAATCCTGCGTCGCAATCGCCGAAAATAATCGTCGTGGGAAGGATCTAATTCGTTCGACCCACCGCGATGGAAAGTGGATGGTCCTTGAGTAATCAGGGACTGCTAATTTTTGCAACGGAAAATTTGGAACTTTTGCCAGTGTTAATTTGATATTGGTTAGGACCACAGAGGATCTCACTACTGAATATACTCGGTATCGCTTGTGACTTGATCGTGGTATAATTTTGGAATCGTGAAAGACGGAAGATTTCATTTTAAAAGCTGGATAATTGAGAAATGACAGGACTGTAGAATAAGATACTGAGGAAAATTTCGTCTGGAAATTATTAAATTGAATAGTTTGGGATGGTGCATTATCTAATATACACTTTTAGTCTAGGAACGAAGGCATTTTAATTCTACACATTACAATAATTCTATATTCTAATTCTACAAATTAGAATAATCCAATATTCAAGTTATATGAATTATAGTAATACTATATCTTAATTATACAAATAATATTAATTTTATATTCTAATCCTATAAATCAGAATAATCCAATATTCAAGTTCCATAAATTATAGTAATCCTATATCCTAATTCTACAAATTATATTAATTCTCTAATTCTATAAATTAGAGTAATCCAATATTCAAGTTCCATAAATTATAGTAATCCAATATCCAAATTCTCCAAATTATATTAATCCCATATCCTAATTCAATGAATTATAACTGTCCATTTGAATTTATAACAACTTCCTTCTATAATAACTTATAACGACAGTCCATTTGTATTTATAACCACTCTCCAATCGAAACTTGCTCTCCTTTCATTCCATCAAAGGAAGCATCACACAATTAAATTCGATTCGATTCGCGTTTCCAAACCGACGATCGTTAAGCAGCGGCAGACGATCCACGCGCAAGCCACTGACGATCTTATCAGATCGTGATCCTGTGCAACTGTGCGCGCCGCTTTGAAAGATCCCGCGACGGGATATATAAGTGTCTCCCGCGCGGAGACGCTAGACAATCTTCTCAAAGCGGTCCGATCTCGCGCCGAGGATCGCGAGACGCGTCTATCGCCGAGTTTCCCGCGAATCCGCGAACCGCGATCTCTCGTCTGTTTGATCTTTGGAACCGGAGGAACGGAAGTGTCGATCGATGACCGCCAGGAACCTGGAGAAAATGCTTCGGCTCACCACGTTGTCGAGGGTCCGTCCCTTTCACGGTACCGATCGATAAATCGCGAATTTTATTCCATCGTACGAGTAGTAACGTTCTTTTATTTCTCTTTCCTCGTTGGATTTCTAGATGAAATCATTGATTTCTTCGAATCGTAGAAACAGCCAGAATATTTACTTTAATAATTCAGTGCAAACATGAAATACTTTAGAAAGAAAGAATTTTATTGCATCGTGCATTTAGTAACGTTCTTTTATTTGTCTTTCCTCGTTCAATTTTTAGATGAAATCTTCATTGACTTCTTCGAATCGTAGAAACAGCCAGAACATTTACTTTAATGATTCAGTGCAAACATGAAATACTTTAGAAAGAGAAAGAATCTTATTGCATCATACAGTAGTAACATTCTTTTCTTTTCCTTTCTTTTTCGTGTGATTTTTATAGGAAATCTTGATTGACTTGTTCGAATTATTGAAACAGCCGGAATATTTACTTTGTAATAGTGAGAATAATTGAAGAGAATTTATGGGAAGGTGGTAAATGCAAACGTGAGATATCTTAAGAGAAGGATGAATTTTATTGTGTCCCACAGTAGTAGCATTCAGTTTTGTATATGCGAATTACGTAATTCCTGTTCGTTTTAACTCGTTGAATGTCGCGGGTCACCGGTGACTTCCAAGCAAATCAAATTACTAAAATTCACGGAATTAAACGATGATTATTCGAAGCCATTTTTGTATCATAAATACTGCAGCCTATTGCGGCGATGTTCAGCAAGATAAACGTGCAATAATAATGCAATTCAATAGAATTATTTAATATTTTATTCTTTTCATTTTGTGGCTTATTTGATAGCACTTCTGTCTCTTTTGGAGATAGCACTGCCAGAAACTGAGCTTTAATAAGGAATTTCGTGGAATTTGTCCTAGGGCCACTGTGTTCTTTTCCACGTGACATCTGTTTAATCATCATTACGTTCACGTTAAATTGTTACGCATTATTGGATATCTCTTACTTTTCTTCTCAAGATACCATTACTAAATTTCATTACTACTACTGTACATGCCTAAACTATTAAAACAGTTCAAGAATTTACTAAGCAAATCAGTGTGTCCAGTAGATGTCTTAGAAAGGAACTGCGGTTATCAGATGAAACTAAAATAATAGTGACCTCAACGATTTCTTCGGCATAAGTGCGTTACAATTACTCTTCAAACGATTCTCCGAAAGGTAGGCGAGAGTTCCTCGAGTGAAATACGCGGCCTTCGAAGTATTAAGTAACATCGAGAGTAGCAATAAAATTGACAGCGGATAGCTTCAGTGCTCTACAGTTGGACATTCATCAAAATACATGAAACTCCCACCATTTCTCGATTTTTCCATCGATAAACACCAAAAACTAGAACTTTGCTACGAAGAGGGTCACGAAAAATCGAAGACTAAAGAACAGCGTCCAATTAAAAGCGAAACAGCCCGAAACACCGTTACATTCACAATCACACAAGTTCGAATCTCCTATAACGCGAACATCCACGTAGAATCGCGTCGTGCGATCCGCGTCGGTGGCGACTGATCGATCGCGATCGAGACAGCCGCGATTCGCCGCGTTCCCGCCTAGTGAGGCAAACGTTGTTCGTCACGGCCGCGAACCGACGCAGGAAAGAATGCCATGCGGAAGGCCAAAGACGATCGCATCAAGATCACGACGCACCACTTTCGGATCAGCATCGAGGAAGAGGACGATGACCAAGATGACAAAGGGGAGAAGACGCTAAGGGATCTAGTGGAAGTAGCGTCGGCCCTCGCGGAAAGGAGGATATCCATCAAAATCGAAGCTGACACCGAAACGTCGTTAGCTACCGATTCAAGAAACATTCTCGATCATCCTCTGTCGCAAAGTCATGCTTCCACTGGAGATCAAAAAGAAAAATCGAGAGAAAGTTCGTCGGTGCCGAGATTCGAAAGAGGACTTCGCACGCCTAGAGGGTCCGTCAAGCGGAAAGAGGACGATGGGTTCGAGGAGAAGCCTGAAATCGATGCGTTCGAAGGGGCGGGAGATTCCGGTGGCTCGAAGGTGCGCGACGATCCCGGAAACAGGTCGGAAATCGAGGAATTCGAGGATGCGAGTCGCTCCGGGGCAGCGGGTCAAGCGCGAATCGAGGGAAGGGGAGCGGAAACTTTGGTCGAAGCGGTGGTCCCGATCGAGGATCGACCGTCGGACGCTGGAATCCGGCCGATGACGAGCGCGGGCCGGAATTTGGCCGGGTTCCATGGCGGAAACCTCGTAGATCTCCCTTCCTCAAGGAAACACGCGGCCGGCGCAACCTCGTGCCGAAATGCGAGTTCCAATCAGAGGTTCGCGCGGTGGCCAAGCTCCGCTTCTCATCATCCTTCCGATGCCGGCTATAACCGAGATCAACTGGTCAAGAGTGACGACACCGTGTCGTTCGACAAAAATGACTCGAAGAAGGCGCATGCCGCTGCGAAGTGGCCAGATGCGTTCGGGACGTTTCAACAGGTAGACGCTAAACAAGCCAGGAGGTTCTCGTCGAGCGACCAGGCTAAGCTGAGATTCTGGAATTTTATGGAGACCAATGACGCCGAGAGTCATGCCAAACTGTTCGAAGACGCATCTGAGGCTGCGGGATCGTCTAAACCTCTCACTGAAGATGGTAAAAAGATTCCAGCGAATCAGGCAGAGCAAAGATTCCGGGATTCAGACACGGAACCCAAGAAGACTGGACCTAAATCTTCCAAAGAGACTTCGAGCTCTCTGCAATCCGAGGAAACAGCTAAGGTCCCAGTGATCAGCAAGATCCAAGTGGAACAGTCGACCATGTTAGCCTACCAAACGAATGTGACCCCTCAGACAACCCCGTTGCTCATCAGAAGATACCTGAGAACTGAGAGCGAGAAGCTTTCTAGCCTAGATCTAGGGGAATCTCTGAAAAAGCAAGATTCGTTAGGCACAGAGAACACCAAGTTACCGAGCACCAGCATGGATGATGCCAGCCAGGTGAGATCAAAAAGAAGACAGACACTGCCAACGTTGGACACCTGTCAGAGTCCCAGTAAAACACCCAAGACTCCTTCCTATGGGGACATCTTGTCGGGGACCAGTGTGAATCCGATCAGGCGGTCCAGCATCGCTAGCGCAGCCATTTGCTCCAGTCTGGTGCCGAGTTTAGCTGGCGCCTGTCCTGTTATACCCGACTGTTTGCTGCCGGCTGGTGAAGAGAGCGCCGCGACCAATGATCATCCAGTCGAGAGTCCTGCGAAGACAGGAGGCGGGCTTAGGCTGAAGCTGCCATTTTTACGGCTCCACATACCGGAGCACCAGCATCCGACCAGCTGGGAGGACGATTCCAATGGACATCATTCGCACACGCACCATCACGATCACCATCATCATCACCATGTTTTCCCGCATTTTCATGTGCCCACGATCACGTTCACCGCGACTGGCGGCGACGGCGAGTCCGGGCGCAAGTTCAACTTCGGCATACGCAGACACTCGCAGACGGTTAGTCGCGTGGACGTCGCATCGGACTGGCTTTCTCGATTAACCACTGCTCACAGCTGGTTTTCCTTTGTTGGTTTGATTGAACATTAATTCAAATAGTAATCGATTGAGTTCCCTGGTTTTTCTTTTGTTTCTTTTATTTGCACACCGTGGATCTATACGCGACACATCTTGAAGTTGCAGGGAATTTGTTTCCCGCTTTAACTCGTTTGAAACGATTTCATTCTCTTTTATATTTCGTTTATTTTACGGATATGTTTGGTTTGGTTGGCTTATTGAGTGACTTTTCCTGCTTTTTGTTTCTTGTGTTTGTATATGATCTTTGCGGCATGATTTCTTGGAGCAGTCGATAGGGAATTGGTTTTTTTCGTTCAAGGACGTTTAACATTTAGTTTCCTCGATCTCGAGAGACACTTGAACACTTCACTTGAATTGCGTTGAAACCAGACTGTTGATCGACCAGAAAAAAATCCGAGGCTAGAAAAGAGAATATTTCGAAGACGCACGATTTACGCGCAGGATTTGGCGAGGGACTGCTGTCCACCGAGTCCGAGACATTCCGTGACTATTTTAATAAAGATCTCCGCCGGGAGCTTCGATGGAAACCGGGCTTAACGAGTCAAAATAAATTATCGCAGCGACTTCAAAGCGAGTGCGTCTCGCGTCGCCGTTCGGTTCCCCGAACCGTGGATAAACCAACAATGTCACGGCCAGTGTTCATTAATCATCGTTCCTGGCAGCAGTTTCAATGGACGGCCGTTCCATACGATCACTAGATCTCTATTGATCCAATCGTTTTTATTCCATTCACCGTGAAGCACGCGTACACTGGAAACTTCGTCATCCATTATTTTTTACCATCGTCTCATGCCAGTAAATTACTTTCAATTGGAATCAGGAATATTCGTTAAAAATAAATTGAATGTTTCATCTTTGAACACGTCTTATACATTTTTTCGGCGTTGATTAAAGCGTTTGAAAAAATCATTCAGGATTATGGGAAGTAATTTTGAGAAGGTAATTTATTTTAGAAGATCGTTGGAAATTTAGAGCTATCCTTTTTAATTTATATCGAGTTTGGTTTACTTCGATTAGTTTAATTGGTAACTGTCGAAGGAATGATTAAATTGAAGGACTCTAAAGAAATTTGGAAATAATTTCTATTTACATTGAATGTTCCTTGAATACAGATTTTTTCCTTCTGGTTTTTGATTCTGATCTTTTTGAATCGATTAGTTAGTAGTCGAGTAAAGTTTTGTTCGGTGCAATTGCATTTTCTTATCATTCGCGAAAAAATGAATTCAAATTTATCTGCCGGGTTTATTCGAACGTTCCGCCGTTCGCCATAGATAAAAACCGGAGTAGAACTCCGCCATAAAACGATTATTGACTTAAAATGATTATCTCGCGTGCAGATAAAACCGCAATTATTTCTGGACAGATAAGCCCGGACACGACATTCCAACGCGATGTCTATGTGTTCGTTTCTTCAAATTATCGAACCATAGACAAAATATTTACCTCGTTCACTTGAACGCTCGCGCAGAGTATTGCAGAAACTTGATCGTGAACAGTAAGTAAGACCGATCACTTTTCATTTGTCTAACTATAGAACGAGTATGCGAATGCTTTATTAACGTAATAACAGTTCATTTTGTTGAGTGCTTATAATTAGATCGCGAATTTTGTGCATTCATTGCAGTTTCAATGAACAATTTAACGGAGTTCTAATTTTTCTTGACGAAACAGTCGGAGAAAGCAATGTATTTTAAATAATACAAACTCGCACTTCAAATAACGCGTAATACAAATTAGAATTTTTAATTTTTAACACTACAAACTTGTATTTAAAATTCTGAACAACACAAATTAAAATTTTTAAATTTCTGGTAATACAACTTTGCGACGTAACTTTTGAATAATGCAAATTTCTGTGTACTTTAAAAAAGGACTCGAGAGATCCTTATTATTCTCATTTGAAGATTCGACACGTCAAGAACCCCAGAACCTGATTAAAAAGTCGATTTCGATCTTCGCGAATTGATCTTCCCGGAATTGAATTATTTATACGTCTGGAAACTTTTTTATCCGCGCGGAGAATATTAAAAATATCTTTATCGATGAGTTAGATATCGAAAGATGGGCATTTCAAAGAAATATGTAAGTAGACGTTGCAAACAGTTCGTCTGAGCAAGCTTCATTATCAATCTCACTAGAGTCAATAAAATCCATTGCAAACTCACTTTACAAATTTCATTGTGTGCCGATTAACGAGTTTCATAAGTGGATTGCCGTGTCGCTAGCGCAGCTTCGCGTTTGATTTCCCGAAGCGTAAAGAAGATAACTTTTCTTTGCTCGTCATTAATTACCAGGATTCACCAATCCTCTGTCTTGCTGCTTGAAAACAATTAATGCAACTTCAGCATTTAATTTTCAATTTATCGCACATTTAACACTAGAACACATCATTCAAAGCAACTAATCATACACCCATAACTTATAAAAATTGATGAAAACACATTTTTCGTACTTGCTTACAATAATATTACACCAAAGAATAGAAACTACGTGCAGAAAGTGCGAGAAATATATTTCCATCGTTTCTATAAGAAGTTACAGGTATATAATTAGTCGGTTTGAATATGATTCTAGCGTCGAACGTCGAAACATTTGTGGAAAAGCAAAAATTGCAGTTTGAGTTTGTGCAGAAGCCGACTCGCGAAACGATCGAAGTTTCGCGAGGTGAATGCTAAAGGTTCTCCGGCCACGTTCATATTGCGAAACTGGCCAGGCAGCGTTGAAGGTTCCTCGATACCCTACGCAGTCGATATTTACCTTTCATTCAACGTTTCCCGTGGCTCTGATTAATGCCTTATCGCCGACCTACATCGTGTCCTGCTCCATTAAACCCGAACGTCCATTTCTACGCGGAAATGCAGAAATTTCCCTCGAGCCTTTACGTCCTGGAGGTTGGTTCTTCGACGCACCGATTCCATTAAAACTGAGCCACGCCGCGAGTACACTCTGACCTTTACTTTTAATCATGGATCTAGCACTAGAACCACCGGATAGGTCAAAATCGCCCATTGCTGATCTCTTCTACTGGAAAAGTATATCGAGTTGAATCGAATCGTTTTCTCTTTGATAGTTGAGAGATAAAGAATATTAATAATGAAAGTGAACAGAAATTTGTTAATTTATCATTTCTCTATTTAATATGACTAGTATCAATTGGATTTTTGTTTCGACCTGATTCAAATGGTAGTGACAAAAGGATTTACCTGAACTGAAATATAATTAAATAAATATTGTATCAAGAAATTTTTGAAAGTCAGTGCTCGGTAGTTCTAGTGTTAATCCGAAGTGCTCTAGATTCCTAGCGTTGTACCCTAATGATTGTCAAATGCGTGTTCTCACCTATACCCCAGGAACCATTAATTCGCTAATTCCATTAATTCCAATAAGAAATCCAGAATCATTAGATAAAATTTCGTGAACAACGCAATGCTCGTATTCTTTAATTCCTATAAAAATACAACCAAAACTTCAAAGTCTGAAATACATTCTCCTTTATTCCCTACACACTATCAATCCATTACAATTAAATACGGAAATTACCTGTCTTAATTCCTTAAAACAAAGGAAGCACGCGGGAACATATCGTTTAAGGGATAACCCAATAAAGGCGTGAGACACTATAACTGTCGACAACCGTTGCGAGAAATGGACAAAAATCGGAATACAGCAATAATCGTCACCGTTCGAATGATGATTGCCGAATAATCGCAACGACGAGAGAACTCGTCGTCGATTCGCGGAGTCGCGACAAAAGGAACGCGCAGTTATCACGTATTCGCGCAGCGTTGCTCAAAGATAATCACAAGGACGTAGGCACGCGTGAGTTACGGTTCCGTAGGCTACGCTGTCTATTAGCTCAGCGATTAAATTGCTTTCGCAGCTTTCGGTCGGAGGAGGGACGCCGCGCTCCTCCGAGGAATCGGTCCGCAACTTCAATTTTTCAATCGGCATATTTTCCACTTTTCTTCCGCAGACCTTGCACCGGACTGACTCGATGGTATCGCTCTGCTACCGATCTCTCGCCAGCTATATCACAGATGATAACCTCGCTGGTCTCCAAAACTTCCTCGAGAACAAAAGAGTGCAGGTCGACGATCGAGACGAGGTAACCGGAACAAACACTGCTTTCATTTTTTCAATTATCGGTTAAAACAAGTAAGAATACGGAAGAACACATTGTTTAACGCGTTCGCGACTAGCTTTTGTTTCAGTAACGATCTTCGTAGTTAATGTGAACGATTCATTAACCAAATCAGTTAACACCGCGGAAGAAACAATAGATAAGTGATGCGATAGCTATAAGTTGATTTCCGGAATTTCAGTTGCAAATGTATGAAACGTTATAACTTTAAAGAAATTTTTGCTATCGCCGCAAGTTTTGCATTGCTAATAGAACTGTGTTTCGCAGTAACACCTAATGATAAGGAAATTTACTTTCAATATGGAAAGCCGAAAACTAATAAACTGTTTTAACGATAAATTCTGGTAAAATTCAAAAACTGCAGCTAATCGATTTCGCTAATGAGTGACTCAGTTGTCTGTAAACTTAGTGTTAACAAGAGTAGTCCGAACAACGCGTTCGCTTGTTTATCAATGTGCCTCTTCGATCGTAATTAAAAGATCGTCAATTTTTATGATTGAGTCGTATTGGCACGACTGCGTCGGAGTAGCAAAGTCAATGGTCTTTTAATTGAATCCCGGAATGAAAGGACGGCGTGACACCACGTGAAAAGAATAAACGAACGAGCTCAGAGTAAAATTAGCACTGAAGAACTTCGAATGAACTGTTCCAAATTACCGTAATTATTTCTTTGATTATTATTCCATTGAGCACAGTGTCCGTCCGATTCCGATGACACCGTTCAACACGGTTCATCTGCGATATGCACAGGATGATTTTAGAGTTCCTTGCCCTAAACACGAATCCGGAAGTATTCATTTAAATATTGGGTTGATGCAAAAATTACGTTTCCGGAGCAAAAATCTCAGATTTCTCTTCGAAGTGACAACATTTGTACAGCCCTGATAAAGAAGCTTATAGGAAGATATAAAAATGTAAAACTGAGGGTGGCGAAGCAATTATGCGTACGAATTCGTGTTTAGCATGATAAACTCTAGAAGAATTACCCTGCAGATCAGAGAGAAGGTTTCAATTTGTTGGACAATGCGATTGAAACGCGCTCGAGATCCGCCTTATCAGGGAACCGACTCTAGATAGACGATTTTCATTGTTCTTACAATAGAATGGTAGCACAGCCCTCATCCTTGCAGCGACTAAGGGGAAGATACACATTGTACGGGAGCTTATCAATCACGGCGCGGACGTTAATGCCGAAGATGGGGTCAGTATTGCGTTAGACGTTGGATCCTCACCTTTGATCTCGATTACACAATGACATTCATTTTCAGGATAACTGGACAGCGTTGCTTTGCGCGGCTAAGGAAGGCCACACCGACGTGTGCCTTGAACTGCTCGAGCATGGAGCCGATCTGGAACACAGAGACATGGTACGTTGGCTTATGGTGCAGTTGCGTAGAGTATTATTATAAGTAACGCTAAATGTAACGTGAGTATCCGTCCACCTGGAAATGGTAAAATAAAGTTAACCCTTTGCGATCCGAAGTGCTCTTGGCTTCTCACTTTGAGGCTCACATGGACGTTATTTCATTCAATTACAGCTTAATATGACGTTTTGATTACTTATTCGAGAATAAGATTCACTGGAACGGTACCTTGAAGTGGTACAATTGTGATACTACAAATGAATATAGAAAAAATTGTTAAAATCAGTAGACGTTGCCGTAAAATCGACATAGGACTGCTAAGGGTTAATAAGTTGGACAAGAATAAACTTGTACGAAGAAACCTTTGTTCACTCTGAATTCAATTGAACTTAGAATTCCGTTTTATATTTTGGAACTTCCTTCTTGACTTTTCAATAGAATTATTCTTGTATTTAGACACGAAGGAAGTGGTATTTATTAAGTAGCTGGAAGTTAGAGGAAAACATAGAAAGTGGAATCTAAGAGAAATGTATTTTTTAGGGAGGATGGACGGCACTCATGTGGGCAACGTACAAGGGTAGGTCGCCGACGGTGACGATGCTGCTAGCACGAGGAGCTGACGTCAATGCGCACGGAAATTTTCATATATCTTCCTTGTTATGGGCCGCGGGCAGGGGCTACCCTGACATTGTTAAAGATCTCATTGCTCATGGTGCTAAAGTTAATGTTGGCGATAAGGTAATCCACTGATATCCAAGACACAAGTGCAGAATAGTTATAGAAAAAGTCGTTCAAGGTGCACACGATAGAGAATAACGTATTTCTAAATAAGTTCCTCCGGTGTGAGACATTGGCGACCCATGGTATTTAAATGTGATTCGGAAACGTGCACTCGCAAGCTAGTTATATTACTGTATGGATCACTTATGACCTATTGTGTATTTTAAGAAGGCAGTATGGAAAATGAAATTTACTCTAAGCCGATATATCCCTTTTCATTTTCAGTATGGTACTACAGCATTGGTGTGGGCGTCGCGTAAAGGAAATGTAGAAATTGTAGATACACTGTTGAAAGCTGGTGCTAATGTTGATACCGCTGGCATGGTAAGACTCATCAATTACTGATTTATGAAAACTACCTTAGGGAGCTTCTTAAGGAGGCTAACAATGACAGGACACTATCTGAAGCTAATGTCTGTGAACAAGCTGAACCAAATTCATGTTCGACACAGTAATTTCAAATATTCATATTTAGAAGATTCTATTTAGATTGTGTCTGACATAAATTATAACCCTTTCTTTACAGTATTCATGGACTGCGCTTCTCGTAGCAACTCTTGGCAATCACGTGGACGTCGTGCTGCTCCTTTTGGAGCATAAACCGAACGTGAATGCATTGGATAAGGATGGTTGTACCGCCCTGGCGATAGCTTGCCGGGAAGGACACCATGAAATAGCTAACGCGCTTCTCAACGCTGGTGCTTATGTGAATATCCAGGACAGAGCCGGGGATACGAACTTGATTCACGCTGTGAAAGGCGGTCATAGAGGAGTGGTTGAATCTCTTTTAAAGAAATACGCGGACGTGGACATCGCTGGAAAGGTGACAAAACTGATGGCAATTTATCGTCGTAAACAGAAGACAGGATAACGATTAACAGTTACAATTGGTTTTTAACCCTCGTATAACGAAGATGTGGTCGCTTTCCACTCTGGATTTCAAATTATCCATAAGGCAATAGATCTTAGAATCGATTCCATTGATATTCCGCTCACGCCTTTTCTTTCCTGCATAAGAAAATAATTATTGTGTCAACTTCACTGGATATTAAAACAGATTCTGTATAAATTCGTATGCACGAGGTTTTTCTCTATCAATAAGGAGTAATCTGAATTCAATTTCAGTGTGTCCGTTTTTCGGGGGTTAATACTGATGAAATTGAGAAGTCCCTTTTATCTTGAAGTTTTTTTTTCTCTCTCTCCTCTCTATTGATTTCAAGCTTGGATTATGCCTAACACGTTCCGGAGAAAAATATATAGAGTCTGGCTAACCAAGCAAATTTTATTGACATCATTCTAGGATAAGAAAACCGCCACTTACATAGCAGTAGAAAAAGGCAATATACCGATATTAAAATTGTTACTAAACGCTAACCCAGACTTGGAGGTCGCGACGAAAGACGGTGACACGCCATTACTGCGGGCAGTTAGGTCGCGGAACGCTGAAATCGTGCAATTACTGCTGGACAAGAAAGCCAAGGTCTCAGCTACCGATAAAAAAGGCGACACGGTGCTTCATATAGCTATGCGTGCGAGATCAAAAGCTATCGTCGAAATCTTGTTGAGAAATCCGAAAAATAGTCAGCTGCTGTACCGTCCGAATAGACAAGGGGAGACGCCGTACAACATTGACATTAATCATCCTAAAACGATTCTTGGACAAATATTTGGTGCACGTAAGTTGTCGCTTCGCTTAAAATGATATACAGTGCTGGACATTTACTCACGAACATGTGAATAATTAGGCTTTCATTATCTGTAAAATGGTATTAGCATTATTTACAACTTAGTCCATGATATTTCGTTTATGTTTAAGATATATACCAGTCTTCTCTTTTGTATCGCTCGAATAACTTCGATATTATAGGTTCTAGATGATGGTTACTTTTAACTCTGTGATATTGTGCATTTTTCACATACATATATGTACCATACAAAGTACAATTAAAATTAATTTATACTCTTCTCAATATTATAACAATCTAGAATATGAATATTATTGTTGTAATCTCATAAAATTACTTGAGTATAAAGTAAGGATAAAAAATGCCTGTTTTTACAGGTCGTCTTAACACTAACGAGGATAATGAAAACATGCTCGGCTATGATCTATACAGCAGTGCATTAGCAGATATTCTTAGCGAACCATCTCTGTCAACGCCGATAACTGTTGGCCTTTACGCGAAATGGGGTTCCGGAAAATCATTTTTATTGAACAAATTGAGAGGTACGAATTGCAGAGAATTTTATTTACCATCAACCCAATCGTGAGATTACTAAAATAATTGTTACAATTCTTCCAGAGGAAATGAAGAACTTTGCTCGACAGTGGATAGACCCCGTGTTCCAATTTTCTTTCTTACTTTTTGTTGTGGTATCCCATGTGTCTTTATTAGTGGGTATTACTATAGGTCTCGCTCTACAATCGTGGATTGTTGGTCTTGTCTGCGGTATAAGTCTTATTGTTATTACCTATACTTTTTTGATACTTATCTGGTATGCTAACAAAAGGTAAGAAACAGTACCGGAGAACGTATATTTTTCTAGCTTTTCATATTTTACACCTCTGCAATATTAATATTCCAGATACGATTGGTACTGGCCTTATAATTTCACGGTAGCTCTCACCACAAAGTTAAATTCATTAAAATTATTGCTACAAGTGATTTTCTGTCATCCTCCTGGTGGTAGAGTTCATGACGGTGTCACTGCTCAGCCGATAAAGTTTTACTTCACCGATCAAACTCGAGTAGGCACGACAGCTGCTGGAGAGAATGCTGTAGTACAAATGGTGGGGTCCCTGTACGATTCCATTGAAAATGATTATGGTTCTTTATCCACAAGATTGTATAGAGCGTTCAGACCAAAACCCGATAAATCCACCACGACTTGGAAATGGAGACACCTTTGTTGTCTACCGTACATAGTTATATTCGAATTCTGCTTTTGCAGTTTACTTGTTGGTATTTCTGTGCTCACTGTCTACCTCATTGACATTTCTAGCAATGAGTGAGTACACGATATCTTTGGATTTATTAAAGAGAGAAAATAATGTAATCGGTGGCGCTTAAAATGAAATTATTATTTCAGACCAACAATAGAAAGAGTTACGGCACATATTATTATGATAACAGTTGCCTTAATACTAGGTGTCAGTATAATAGCAAACTTATACACTTGGAATCGAACATTGCAAGCACTAGTTTTTTCCCAAAGGCGACACCTCCAACGTAGCATTTCTAAGTTGGAAACATTGAAAAGCGAAGGCTTTATACAAACTTTGAGAAGTGAAGTTAGTTTAATGACTGAGATGGTATGTAAGTTCTTATTGAGATTGTACATCTTCAATGTATCGTAATATATCATTTCTTCTAAATAACGAGGTTTTTGGATAAAAATAGGTCAAATGTCTAGATAGCTTCATGGCTCAGCAGAGCAGATTAGTGATTATTGTGGATGGTTTGGATAGTTGTGAACAGGACAAGGTGTTGTTAGTTTTGGATGCTATACAAGCATTGTTCAGTGATAATGGTTATCCATTCGTTGTTATATTAGCTATCGATCCACATATTATTGCCAAGGTATTGTACCTTTCAGTTTTTCTTAACGACGTGTGAAATAATAATAGGTTTCAATTAACGATTACACTTAATAGGCAGTGGAAGTCAATAGTAGGAGATTATTTACGGAGTCAAATATCGGAGGTCACGATTATTTACGCAATATGGTGCACCTTCCATTTTATTTGCAAAATAGCGGTTTAAGGAAGGTGAAAATTGCTCAACAAACTGCCCAACATAGTAGGAAAACAACGTGGACTGAAGCGGAAGAGAGTGTTAATTATACTGCTACTAGCACAATGCATCACTCTATGTCTAGTAGAAGACTTAGTACAGAGTCTGGCATAATGAACAGCAATGAGAAGCTGAAACCACAAAGTAGAAAAGGCAGTAGAAAATTAAGATTGAGCGAATCAATCGCTAGCAGTATCGGCAGTAATTTGAACCGATTAGGTGGTGCTCAGGATCTTAATAAAATGCTACTTACCGACGATTACTTTAGCGATGTAAATCCTCGTAGCATGAGACGACTAATGAACGTCGTTTATGTCACTGGTAATATTAACATGATAACTCATTTATTGATGAATATGAAAAATTTGAACCCTGAAAGAATATAACTTATATTGTTTTATCCTAGGAAGATTAATCAAAGTTATATCTGTATACAATTCACTATCCTTTGGGTCCAATTTTTTTAATTGTCAACAAATATTTATTCCAAATATTTATCTAAAATACTATATTCATACTTATCACATTATTTATTTATACTAGGGAGGTTGTTGAAAGCATTCCAAATTGATTTCAATTGGTATCATTTAGCCAGTTGGATCAACATTACAGAGCAATGGCCGTTTAGAACATCTTGGTTGATCCTACATTATGACATGTACGAAGATAACTTAGATGATTCCATGTCATTGAAGAGTCTTTACGATAAGTACGTTCCGGTTGTGAATCTTATGTATTTTAATACTCGAGCTATGTGATTCTAGTTTACATTGTTTAAATTATTAGGATACGCCCTCAGATACCAGTACTTAAAGAAGTCCAGCCCCTTTTAGAAATGGACAGAGACGAACGCAAATTAGACATATTTCTGACTTTCCATCGTTCCAGTTTGTTGGTTAGCGACATGAAGATATTCTTGCCATTTACAATTAATCTTGATCCCTATATTAAGAAAAAAATTAAAGAAGAACAGCAAAGCATTGAAGAAGAGACAGGAGTTGGACAGTACAAACAGTATACTCCTTGGACTATGCACAACGGTGGTCAAGAACCATGGAATGCAGGTAGAAGTGGTAGAGCAATGAAATATACTAGGACACCAAGTCTCCAAGTACCTGCACCAGTCCCAGCAACACCATCTTGGTGTATGCAGCCATCGTACGATTGGCAAACACCAGGCTGGGTATCAATGCCTCCTATGGAACCCACGATTAAACCACTTTCTGCAACTACAACTCTACCGGTAGAATACATATGCAATATTTACATAATTCAATCTAAATCTCTATCAGTCAGTAGGAATAATAAACCTTATCCTTTGTTACAGTCCGAAATCTTGGAAATTAAGCTTTCGTCGTTAACAGTGAACGGTGTATGTGATCTCATTGATAGGATAGAGAGTTTGAATCCCAATCAAGCACCACAGTACAAAAATGTTATTAAGGAAAACAACATCAATGGCAGAGTTCTGTTACACTGCGACTTGCAAGAGTTAAAAAGAGTAAGTTTCAATTCCCTTTAAAAGCAAATGCACGCTAACAAGACGTCTCATTTGTAGGTACTTAAAATGGCTTTCGGAGATTGGGAACTGTTCCGTATGGTAATCGCGTCACTTAGAGAATTAGAGTTGTCATTCTTCAGTACACACGAAGAAGGACCGCGCAGTGTACGATTCACAGTAGGATCTGAACAGATCCAGCGAAAAGGTATGGATAAGTTCTCCGGTGACTGAACCAATTTTTTCATTAATTTATCACTTAACGTTAGACCATTCGTTGCAAACTACGTCGATCCGTGTACCAACTCATATTGAAAAGGACAAAGGCACCTCAAGAACTGACGGTCCACCTAGACGAGATCAAACCAAACAGTCCATCATGGAAAAACAAGTAAGTCTCTTTTAAAACCTAAATTCGAGACAATTAACAATAGAAATTTGTCCTATGACTAACCGACTAATACAAAGTATAATTCTCATTACAATTGTGCTCCGTCTTAGTATCAGGTAAGCAGAATTGTATTGAATATTCTAGTAGTAAACAAAAATTAGTATTACCGTGTTTATATGTATAACTGGAACAGTTGATATTGAACAACGTATCAGCAATTTATATGTTAACTTCTTTTTTAGGTTACTTTAGAGGAGCAAATGATTTGCGGAGCATTACAAACATTAAATGAAGAAGCTTGCGAGGATGTATTAGATGTACCATCATCTTCAGTGGTACCAACAGACTCACTCTCAGGTGAGACTCCTTCCGTAGTACTTTCACTGCCTTTGGTTATAGTTCAAGAACCACCGCAGCAAGACCAAAACTGTGACGTCGTATATGAATACAGTACAAACCTTTAATGATTCGAATTGGAGTCTGCTATTATTCGATTACATATCATGCGTGCACAACATTAATACGGCTTCATCATAGCATTCGAAGACAGGTCTCCGTATTCGTTACTCGTAATTGAAATTTCATTAGGAAAATCTCGTCAATTTGTCTGTTGGTTGAATGTTTAACAGTATTATCGATGTTAGGTGTACCCGTATAAAATAAATGAGAATGTAGTTTTTGTAAATAACGTACGAACTTTTGAGAAAATCGTATGTTGAGGAGGCCATAGAAAAAAACTACAGCTACTTCAGATTTTGGCCTTATTTGGTATTATCTGCTTGAATAATGTGCCAATGCGTCGTGCGAGACTGGAGATCCTTGTAAATAGAGAAAGAATATATAGTGAATGTCATTTGTTAAATAAAAGAAAAATATACGTCTTATATATACATATATATATATAGATATATATCTATATACACACACACGTATCGTGTAACAAATAACGTTCGACGATAGTGATTTGAATGTATGCGTTATTGTAGGTATAATAAAAGCATCATGCGATAGTTTAGCACCGCTGTGGTAATGCTTGCGTAACTCAACGTTTAATCTGTCTGAAACTTATTATTACCGGTTAATTGATCGTTATGTTACTTTCCTTACCGATGTACGACACTTGAAGCTACTATTGTGCGCATCATAGATTCGAAGCCCTCTACTCTGTACAACATTTGTAAAAAAACAGACTGTGATAATTGTTACTATCGTCGGGTGTAGCTGAAATACGCTTCCTTCGCGGACGTTACGCTGATAGATCTTGTATTCTTAGAAAGATAAACTTCCCCACGAAGAAGTTTTGTATACCAAAGTAAAGAAAAAAAAACAGAACAACAGAAGCTAGTTTATATTTTCATCTCTGTTGATGTATTTTTTTTTGTACTGTGTGTACGATTACTGTAGACTATTTGAACATTATATTATAATATGCGAATGGCAATAAAACTTTGTTGGAAATTATGGCGACATTATCTTTCTCACAGTCTAGATCTATAAGCTCACCGAGTAAGTCACGTTTCGCGTCTCCGCGTCGAAACGCGATAACGCGGATCGGTGCTCCGAGCGATTCAACGATCAGTGGCGACAGCCGGTCGTATTTCACTTGCAAATCCTTATGCAATTAGCGTTATCTCCCCGTGCGATAGTCTTTAATCGAACATTCAGACGGTTCGCCACGTTTCAATAAGGTTCCTTCTCTGGGCAAATAAAATACGCGCAACGCCTCTGTTTTAGGGTCCACCTCAGCTGCGGCTCAAGACACAGATTATGTGATACTACAGTCGAATCCTCTTCTGCATTGGGTACCGGTTAACGACGAGCCAGAAACGTCGGACGATAGTTCCCTCGAGTCAACGGTTCACCTGCAGCGCACGAATTCCCAGCGTAGCATCGCGTCTCAGCTTAGCACAAGATCAACCTGCTCGTTCGGCCGTAAGGACTCGAAGAAAGCTGGGAGCAATGCTGCCAGCAGTAGACCAGCATCTTTGTTCGTCTCCCCGCCGCCATCTCCTAGACCAGCGTTCAGGTCGAAGTCAACGGATGAGAATTACGTAGCGAATAACATACCCCTGAGGCCAACCATCTCGACGCCGATAAAAAAACGACGTTCCACGTCCACGCTGAACGAAGAGGTAGTGATATCAGTACCGGTAGCAAATTCTAGCCTAGAAAAGTTAAGCAAGCTCAAAGATCGTCTTATGGGGACCTTGCCTACTTCTCCCGCGCCGGGCGAAAGCGAAGACGAGTCAACGCCGTTAGTCTCTGAATTATCTACTCCGACCCATTCGCAGTCGGACAGCGTGTTCAAGCATGATTACAGCGAGGAGAACAGCAGCTCGGTGTCGTCTAACAAGAGCTTACCTCGGGACGGTGAACGGTCCATAGACGTTGATTACCCCGACACAGTGAGCTTAATGGTCCGCGAATCTTCGCACGTGCGTTTCCTGTCCAGACAGGACGCCGAAGAATGGGACAACCCCGAAACGCCTGTCTGATATCTTCTTTCGTTGCTCCATCGTTAACGAGTCTCACGCGCTGACACGCAATAATGTATGATATGTATATGCATGAACGATAATTTTAAGTGAAACAGAAGTATTCGAACCGAGGTTTGTGATAACTTTTCAATGGTAGCGAGACGAAACACTGGTTTTAATGTGCTTTGTAAATAGTGGATAGGGCGAGGCCAGCCTCGAGATAGAGAAAACTTAATACGACGGTGCTTACACGTCGCGGAATACGAGATCTAGTTCAAATGACCTAAGGGAAGCGAACGTACGTGTAAAATTAGATTTCGTTTTAGAGTCTTGACATTCCTTGTATTTACGCATTTAACGATGCGAGAGAGGTCAGTTTTTTGTTTGACGGGCGACAGAGGTGGACGAAATTTGATTCGAGGGTGGTAGATGAATAAGGGGACAGTTTTTGGAGTTACAAAATGAAATGAATTAGTAACATTGGAGTATTAAATTTGTTTAATATGTGAGCTCTTATTTTTGTATACGGCTGTATATACTTAGGAAATATCCAGAGGAGGTCAGTGTCCAAAAAGGTTTTTGGATTGATAAGGAATATAATTGAATTTACTTCTCGTCTGTTGTTATCCAAATTTTAAGAAACTGAACTGTTGAAAACAATTCGTATGGTAATTTCTGTATGTTTATATTTTAATGTTTCTTTTGTTTTATTTATTATTTTAAATTGTTCGTCCACTTAAATGTTTCACCCATCTTCAAAGAGACTGATGAGCTGAGAATATTTTTTTTATTGCATTAATGAAATTTGCATGTTGTGAAGTTAGATAATTTGTAAACGCAATTAACAGTGTAACTTGACACAGACGAATAAATCTTGAAATATTTTAACAGTCTGCTTGGCGACTAGAGTGTGTCAAGTAAAATAACTGTACTAAGGAGAATTCATTTCGTCATTTGTTCACGTGTACAATGACTTTAATTCTGAATGGTATTATCAAATTTTAGACCTTACAGTATAACATCTGAATAAACATTGCCAATTCTTTTGACAAATGACTGTGGAGAGACACAAGTAAATTTGATTTGGTTCATAATTGTAGTGGTAAGATGAAATGCCCCAATCACACTGCTTTTATTATTGCACCTATAAGATAAAATTACGTAACACATTTTTAAGATAAATTAACATTAGGTTAGTAGTTAATCATTCATCGATTTGACAGGAGACATTTCAAACAATATTGTCGAAAAATCAGATACGTATATAAGTTTATATTAAATTGTTATTAAGTATTTAAATTTTTTCCGAGAATTCTTTTCTAATTTTATAGTACACATTGAGTTATTACTTTAGTTGTGATCATATACAAAGTGTACATGGTAAACTACTGTTAGGAAAAATCATAGCATTTGCTCTATTTTAATACATTGTCTAAAAAATCAATGTTTATAAAAGTTTTCACAATTTCTGTAGCCTTTCGAACAAAAGCAACAGGTATACTAAAAAATTGTATAGGTTCTAACTAAGTTTATATTATCAGATATTTTCTTACCCTAATACAGAATTCCTCAAGATTGGATTTTCTATTGTAACATGGCAGTCAGGGTGTTAAACATGTCAATGCCTAATTTGTACAACATATAGGAACGTAGTTACAAATATCTTTCAAAACATCTACAACATAACGTTTTTAATAATACCTTTTTATTACAAAGCAAAAACATATACATAATGTATATAACAGTATATGTATATAACACTTTAGGACGGAATACATTAGGGTATTGGTTAATAATAGCACTGTAAACACAGGTAATAGATATATTAGATCTTCAAATAATAGTATTATATGTACTTGACTTATTGCTATTAAATACAATATATTTAAATACACAAAATTAACATAATATAGCGCCCCAATCTACTTTCATAAATGCTTGTAAATGGAATACAATAAGTACTTCAACAGCCTTTCACATAAAATTCGTCGAAAAAAAAACGAATTTTCTTCTGTATGATTTATATTTCATAAAGAGAGACAATTAAATATATTGTTTAATTGCTTTTCAAGTGGCATTCGTACATTATGATTCGCATAATACAATTGGTTTTATCAGATCTTTGATTTATACATGATTGCTAGATTTTTTTAAAATTAATTTTACTAGTTTCTTTTTACGAAATACTGATACGTATATCAATTACAAAATATTGTAAACATATAAACGGTAAAATTTCACCATATCGTACGCTATGTAGTATATGGTAAACCGATTTAAATAATCAGCCTGTTTACCACAAATTATACAATATATCTTTTCGATATTTCACAGAAAAAACTCTGTCGTCGATTAAAATATTTGTCATAAATAAAATGTCAATCAAATGGGATGAGTATAAAATTGGAATACAATAGTTTTTCTCTTTTTTCATTATAACTAAAGGCACTATGGCAAGTATAAAATACTATCTCAGAGGAATTTAAATACATTTATTATACTACTGGGTATCCAAACTTTGTTCAGGAATTATATGCAATATTATTAATTTTAATTATAATTTATATAACTTTATATTAAATATAATTAGGTAAAAAACGTGAAAAATATATTTTTATAAGACGCTATTTCAAAAGTTTGCATACCCTCGATTAAATGTCTTGTAACTTCTAATAAAAGCACCATACATTATTCTTTAATGTATGCATATGTACTAAACATGCTAACAGGGTGAAAGGACACTTAAATTTGTATAACAATTAATTATCTTACTCTACAATAAATGCAGAACACAATTAAACAACTTGCATGGCAGAAGTTTGTAAAAAAAAACAATATTTCAAAATAAAAAATAATATAATCATAAAAAAAATATAACCATTTAAAGTATGGAATAGTATTTCTTATAATGTACTTTTTGCTTTCAGTATTTCTACTGTGCATTTAGGAAGTAATTCATTTTTTAAGCGATATATATTTTGTACAAAGTAATCCTTCGTAATTTAAATAATTCTTAAAAAATTTCTATGAATTTAATGTATATAATTTCTGCTAATCATTAGGTTTTCAAATAGTTGCACGAAATTAAGCGTAAAATGTTTGATTGGTCCCATTTAAATTTTAAGATGTTCTGTCGAACCTCTTTAAATCACCAATATCATATTATTGCAGGCACTTTAAGAAAATCAATATGTAATCCAAGGAAGATATAATTTAATAAATACCTTGGTTATTTCGTACTTTTCATGCGTTGCATTAGACAATACTTCAGAGTTGAGTTGTGATTACAGTCTTCCTCGTAATAATAGTATGCTTGATGGGAGTTTGATCTGTGGTCGTTGTCTGTGATGGATCAGCTACCAGCCAAGGGCTGATGTCAGAAACAGCAGAATTGTCATCCTGTAACATAAAAATAATTTGTTACGCATCATTAACTTGAAACGTTATACAAACTATGGATATATTAATATATGATTAACAATTGTAAACAAGACAACTATGTACTCCACGAATAACTTTGGATGCAGTTCAATTTAATGAGATACATTACCGATATTAAAAAATATATGCATACATTTAAGTAACATGGGCAATTTGCACAAATCAAAGAGAGCATTTTTTCAAATCGGACAATTACAATACAATACAAAGAAATTGATTACAATGGCTAATTCTCAAGCACTTAGGAATAAAGCACACCTTATGTGTGAGAGTTGTAGTCGTTGTTTGGATTTCTTCAGTCTTTACAACTCTTGCTCCATTTTTTTCCACCTCAGGTTCAACTTTCTTCTCGACAGAAGATTGTACCTCCTTAAATGGATTCAGTAATCCCAAAAATGGATTGGAATCTATGAACGGGTTTGTGTTCGCTTTTTTTTCCTCTTCTGTTTTTACGTCTTCTTCAGTACTTTCCGAAACATTTGTAGTGACGTCGCTACTGTTATCACTAGTAAATGGATTGAAAGGATTTTGGGATTGATTTGAAATTTTAGGATTCAACTGAGTTGTCTTTTGCTCGATTTGACCCCAACTGTCTAAAGAGAAATGTGTTACAGTAACGTTGTCGTCCATCGATGGATTCATCGTTGTTGTTCCACTCACAGAAAGGGTTAGTTTGTCTCCGCCCTAAGTAATAAACAATGCAAAAAAAGCATACGAGTTACAACTAAAGCCTAAAAGCATCGGACAATGGAACAAGTATTTCGTTGAAAAATACTTATGCATATAACAGCACAAAATATATCTAACATGAAATACATTTAATACACTTTAAATAAGCAGCTGCAATTGTACACTACAAAACTCTGCCCTAGATATTAAGAATTATCTTTCTCAATGTATTTGTAAAAGTAACAGTTGAATTAAAAATATTCTAAACAAATGAACAATTCTCTACAGCATGAAATAATCTGTAAAATCGTTTGAATGTTTTGTGTAATAATTAATGATAATTTCTTACCACAGACACGATTGTTGCTGCATCAGAATGTTGACTGTTCTTTGAAACAACTGCAGGCACATCCGTGGAAGTGATCGAAACTAAATTAGAATTCTTTCCTTGTTCCAGCGATTTCGCTTTTAGTATGTTACATTTCAGTGATTCAGGCGGTATGGGTGTACGAGGTGGCAGTGACGAGGTACCGCCTACTTGATTGTTTGGCACTAATTGCACTGGATTTGTTATGTTTTCAATAGTTAGACTTGTTTTCCTTGGCTCAGATTCTTTTTCGGAGCTAGCAACTGTCGTTTGATTTCTGGCTTCCAAAGGTTGTTGATCTTTGGCGAGTGATTTCAATAAGGAATCTACTAATGGCGAGGATGTACCATGTATGCTAGAATCTGAAGACTTTGTACTACATTGGCTTGGTTGACGTTGCAGAGGTTGTTCCTCAGCTAAAAGTTCAACATACATCACAATGATACATAAAAATTGGAATTGTTGATTTTACATATCTTCAACAAGAGTCATTCTTTAAACATTGCACTTCAAAACTTACTAGGAGGCGGTGAAGTTACTGGCTGCTCTACTTGTTGTCGCTGTCGTTCTCTTAAAACGTGGCTTTGTCTTCGAGCGTATCTTTGACTCGGTCGACGCTCGAACTGTACGGTTCTACGTGCTCGATTTAACTGAGTCGTTTGGAACTCAGTTTTACCGCTATAACGAAACCGGGAACCCATACGGAAAAAATTTTGACGTCCACTAGCACCTTTAACAGGGGCTCTTAATCTAAAAAAAGCATGATGTTCTACGGCACATTTCCATAAATGCTTGCAAGCTTTCTCATTAACCAATCTAAATACAAATGTGTGCTCTTGCTCTCCTCTGCCTTCATCATCCTCCTCCACCACAACCAAGGTCAATTTCTTTTTTTTAAAATCCAGACGACCAATCTTAGGCCAGAAGAATAGGCCAATCTTTTGTGTGCCTTCGAAAACTAAGATTCCAGTCGGAGTTAAACCCAAGGAATATTCACAGGCATCTTTTCCAAGGACAGTATGCATATCTACTCCGTACATGTCTAACCATTTGGCTTTACCAAGGTAAGTTGATTCAGCCTGAGCTGGACTAAGGCCAGAACATTTTGCATATTCCTCAAGTATTTCCAGTTCCATTTGCTCTGTTTGACCCGGTACAAATCGGAATTCTGATACTGTTGCAGCGCTATGCGCTGTGGGGTCATAATCACCAAGTTCAGCTGAAGATATCAATAAGTATGTGTTAAAATATACAATGAAAAACTGTGAGTAGATTACAGATATAAAATCCTTACATTGCAGAGCCAAAGCAGCTAACTGAACTGCAACTTGGTGAGGACAATGAAGTTTCCCTTCCAAAACATCTTGCTTTAGTTGCAGGAAGAACTGATATCTTGTTAACTCTTCACGTAATGTATTAGGCTCTGAGGAATAAAACTTTACTTTCAGCCGTAAAGTATAAGGTGGCCCAACTGTAAAAAATGATATTAATTAATAACTGATAAAGCATGAACAAAATTTATAAATATAATTGCCTAATATACATAAAAACAAATCATACTTTTTACTTGTTTCTTTATTGGTTTTGTTGGATCCAACCAATGCTGAACATTATTGCTATCAGTATATTGCAGTCCAAAATAATCCTTCTCTATTAAATCTAAACTATAAAATACCTGTTCATATAAGTCACTAGCCAATGCTTTTTTCTGTAACAGAAAATTTAATCAGATAATTTCATCACGATGATCTTACCCTATTAATGTGTTAAAACAATCAAAAATGTTTCCAACACATTATAAAAGGAATTTCTTAGAAATGTATCTATACAAAAATATATTTCACCGTTCAATTACTGAACTAATCGCAACGTTATTCAATAACAATCAACTGCTAACTTTATATATTTATCACAATTTAGGTTTGCGTATTATCTACCATAAACTTGATACGACTGTCACTTCAAAAGCTTTCCATTCTTATAAAGACTTTCATACTTGAATTATTATTCTATCAGTGATAATTCTATGAGTGGTAGCAGCCTCTCCGTATCCTTGACAACCTAGTAGTTCTTGAAGTACAAATTCAATTCGACATAAAAATGCAGACCATTATTAAATATTATTAACAGCATTAAAGTAACAATTTCTAAGCAGAATTTATTGAAAAACATAACTGATAAGGAAACGTAAGTATTACTTAACGTGAAACTTACTGATAATTCAATAGGCAGATCGGTCCCGTCTAGCAGTACCACTCTGCATTGAACAACATTCTTGTTGCTGAGCAATCGTTGGTTTTTGATTTGGGAGGACGCGGTTTGCCCGCTGACACTACGTGCTCTTCGCCGTGACAGGAATCGTAACATTTTATTTGACATACGTTCGTGCCGCTCACTATCTTGTTAAATCCGACTTGGTGTTGTATCGCTACATTCCTCGAGCGTATCTTTTTCGCGCTACGCCGTCCTGATTAACGCCCACCTGTGCGCCAGTATGCGGATGCATAAACACGCGCAAATAACGAATGCGAATGGATCACTTATTAAATACATATGTCGAGAATGGATAGTAAAATGCATTTACATTGTGATTACTTAAGGGCTGACTAGTCATAACATACTATCACGAGATCCGCATTTACCCAGAGAATGCATATATTTTGCTTACGGTAAAACCACGAACATTTTTTCCGTTCGAAACATTTTTCCTACACGATTACACAGCCAGCTGCGATACCGCGGACATCTAGCGGCGAGAAACTTTCAAGTATTATCCGCGCACGTAAGCTCAGAGTCGGTACAGCTGTCTAATTCAATATAATTTTCTGTCTACCGTACAGCTATCTCAAATCAGCGCTGAAAACTTCTACCTGAAGACAGGATAGCTGTCAGTAACACAGAGTAACCCTAATTGATCAAAAATTACAATAATTAATTTATAAAAAGACAGAGAAAGAAACAACTTAACAAATTTAATAAAATGAAAACTGAATATATAGACACTATCAAAATGACAGCAGTATGAAAAATATGTCTAAGGAGTTATACTTTGATTTATAAAAGAAGAGTTGGAAGTATTTATTTGTAACATGTTTCTGAAAATAAAAACACTTATATATTATAATATAAATAGAATTATCATTACCCTAATAAACATTATCATGATACTGACAGATTAAAGTCAACAAAACTCAGAAAGCAACAGACTGGCGTCTGCGTAAGGCGGGTTGCAGTACGCAGGGGCAGTCTCTATATCTGTAATGTGTAAGACAAGGATAGAGAATCATGGGAGCGAGCGACAGTGGCGCCATCTAGCG